TTTAACATCTTTATTGATGATCTGGACGAGGGGATCGAGTGCACCCTCAGTCAGTTTGCAGATGACCCCAAGTTGGGTGGGAGTGTTGATCTGCTCGAGGGCAGGGAGGCTGCAGAGAGACCTGGACAGGCTGGAGCCATGGGCTGAGCCCAACTGGGGGAGTTTCAATAAGGCCAAATGCCGGGGGCTGCCCTTGGGCCACAACAACCCCCAGCAGCGCTACAGGCTTGGGGAGGAGTGGCTGGAGAGCTGCCAGTCAGAGAGGGACCTGGGAGGGTGATTGACAGCCGGCTGAACAGGAGCCAGCAGTGTGCCCAGGGGGCCAAGAAGGCCAATGGCATCCTGGCTTGTGTCAGCACTGGCATGGCCAGCAGGGACAGGGAAGGGATCTGACCCCTGTGCTTGGCACTGGTGAGGCCGCACCTCGATTCCTGTGTTCAGTTTTGGGCCCCTCACAGCAAAAAGGACATTGAATGACTCGAGCGTGTCCAGAGAAGGGCAACGGAGCTGGGGCAGGGTCTGGAGCACAGGTCGTACGGGGAGCGGCTGAGGGAACTGGGGGGGTTTAGTCTGGAGAAGAGGAGGCTGAGGGGAGACCTCATCGCCCTCTACAGCTGCCTGAAAGGAGGGTGCAGAGAGCTGGGTTTGAGCCTCTTTAGCCTGGTAGAAAGCGACAGGACAAGAGCGAATGGCCTCAAGTTGCACCAGGGCAGGTTTAGACTGGATATTAGGAAGCATTTCTTCACAGAAGGGGTTGTTGGATGTTGGAATGGGCTGCCCAGGGAGGTGGTGGAGTCCCCATCCCTGGAGGTGTTTAAGAGTCGGGTTGATTTAGAGCTTAAGGATATGCTGTAGGTGGGAACTGTGCTAGGCGAACAGTTGGACTAGATGATCTCCAGGGTCGTTTCCAACCTAGGTGATTCTGTGATGTTACTTCCAACACCATAAAAGTGGAGTAATTCTACTGAAACAGAATTGAGTAAGATCAAAATGAAAAGAAATAACTGAAACTAACTGGTGGCATATTTAAGAAGCTGTTTTAAATATCAGGTTTTAAGCCTATGTGATAGCTCTGTTGTAATAGTACTATATTACTTAAATTTAATATGGACCAACCTATTACAAAAAATCACATAAATCCATTTACCATATATTAAGATGTCTTAAAAAGACCAGCTAAAGAAAAAATATAGAGTGTCTACAAGTTTCCATAATTACATGAATTAAGGCAAATGTATCCTTAAATGTTATATTTAGGAATGGCTATTATAATCCTTTTTTTAAAGAATGAAAACAAAAAATAAACCATCCTTTATGTGCCCTGTGAAGGTAACATGAGGAGATTATAACAGCGAATAAGGGACAAAACCCTCAGGGGTGCAGGAACTTCGAAGCCAGTAAGACCGCTGATGTCTTTATAAGAAGCTCTACATACAGTGTACCTATTTCTGTTGCTATTCTGCAGGCATACAAAAATTCTGTATCAGAAAATCACTTTCTATGTTTGAGATCTGTTCATTAACAGCTCTTCACAGAGCAGTCACAGGAGCTCTTTACAGAGCAGTCACAGGAGAATTATTGTGTGCTTGAAATAAATTAAAACCACTGGGTAAATGTGCACTATTAAGGACCAATAAGCAGCAAACAAAGCTAAGCAAGTTTAAAACTCTAATTCCAGCTGTACTAGAAGTTAAGATCCACATGACTCCAACATCCTACCTTTATTTTAAGATTGGAAAGTAATTTATTCATCACTCACAAAGTATCGTTTCATTGGGGACTGATCAAGGAATCATCTCTTTCACAAGTGATCACCTTAATGTTCTGAAATCACCAGGAAATATTCAGGTCACTGATGTGCAAACTAACATTTTTTCTCTCTACAAGCTCCATTTAAAGGTGCAGCAATCTCAAAACATCTCCCATGACACCCTCACAAGGAAAAAATAATTCCTGGGAGACCCTAAATTGAAAAAAGTAATTGGAATCTGTTCTTATTTTAGTACTAAAAGGAGAAGGCAAAAGTGGATTTTGTTGCTTACATATTTCTACAAGGGACAGTTTGGCTATTAGGATTATTCAAATAAATGTCATCTGTAATGGTCTCTGAGAAGGCACACTGACAATAGCAGACAAATTAAGACCCACATGCACCATCTGGGCCATATTCCTTATTGGTCACACTACTAACATTGCCTTAAAGGCTGAAGAGATGGTAAAGCTGTTGGCATGATTACAGAGAAAGTAAGGATCAAAGAGCAATTTTTTTATGATTTTGAAGGACAGTGGGCCTTCTAGTTCCTTCAGATCAGCAAAAATTGAGTAATACTTGGACTTGAGTGCAATCCAAACACTTGCTGCTAAATGTACTTGAGCTGACATGTCATGGTTCATGAAAGCCAAAATGGCACATGAAAATTAGCATCAACAAAATTGGTAAGCAGAACAACTCTGCTTTACACTGTTTTCAGACAGTAAAAAATGTCCTCAGAGATTATCAGGGAACGGTTTTCCTCTGTCAGTTCTGCATACATTTCTATATATTTAAATAAAAACTTGATAGGTTAGATCAATATATGGCCACCAGTAGTGACACCACTGATGTGTCATCCCCACTTTTATTAATAGAAAAACTCCTTAGATGGAACGCAGGTTCTTCTGTCTAGGAGGAATTCTGAGTAAGGTTTTTATTTCTGTGAAGTACAGTGAGTCCCATGTCAAGGCTCAGTTTAGATCTGTATGAAGGGACTGCACAAAGGCTGCTGGATGGATTCTCCAGTAGAAAAAGGCTATGGATCAGACTCACAGCAAAAGCGATTCTTGAACTAGGAAGCTTAAGTGCAGAACTGGACAGAAAAATGATCCTACCTTCCCTCCCTGTGAGATTTTGATCATTACAGATCAAACCAGAAAATTCACGTAAGTTATTTTGTGGTTTTATTAGAATCAGAGCATTAGTTTTCCAAACTATCTTTTTTTCTTCATTTTAATCCTTCTTGCTAAAATGTTTTAGGCTTGGGTCTAAACTGTATCCCCATCCCCACCGCACCTTCCCTAAAGAAGGTGATGATTTTCCACTGAAAAAACCCCCAACATGCACAACAGTAGGGAATTATGACCTAATTTCAGAGAATGGTTATAGCCTGACTTACACAGCCAAGGGTCTTCTGTTCCAGACACTCCCAGAATGCTCCATTATAGGCGATGTGCTGCTGCTAGCTGGGACAAGAGGGGCAGGGCTCTGCAACTCTCTCACAACTGTGAAAGAAACAGCCTCGACTACTTCAGTCATCAAATTATCTTGCTGAGTCTGCCAAAAAGTTTGTTCTTAGAAGGTGTTCAGGAAAGTCCCAATCCTGTGAAATGAACTGGTTCACAGATTCTTTGGTTCCTGAAGATCACAGCAGTTGGATATTTTTTTTGTTTTTCTGGTTCATTCAAATAAAATGATAAAAATAGTAAACCCCACTTGTAACTCATTGAGTTATATGAGATATTGCTGTGGCTTTTATGACAAGACTGTAGCCATCACCCACTACCATCCACTCAAGCCCATGGCAGTCAGTCTCTGCATTTTTTTCTCATTTCTGTGAAGTGTGGTTCCCACAATCTTCTTCTCATTATTTCAAAGAGCACTCACAGAATTTTCTTCCAAACTATCAAGGCTATTTTCTTCATAATGCCAAAACCCTAAACTTGCTCTATACAATTACCTATTTTTTCACATTAAAAAGTCTTTCTACACGTGGCTGAGTAATACAAATCACTACTTTATGACATTTTTGTCAACTGCAGAATATATTATTAATGAATACATATTTATTACTGCTGAACCAGCTCTACAAATAGTGAAACAAGGTCCACTAAACAGTTTTATCGTGCCTTTCATTTTTCTAAACCAAAATAATTTGGGAGTATATTACTTTTTTAATCCAATATGCTGTGTTCATTTTAGGAGCAATATATTCTTGTTACAAAGCACTTTCATAAATGCATTCCCATGAGGAGGCTGGAAGACTAGCATACCTCCTGTCGGCTATTCAAAGGCTGAAAGTAGTCAAGAATATAATGCCATCCATGTAGTTAAGGGCAGGCAAGTGATCACCCTGGGCCTAAATCCTACAGTCCTTTTTGGGCACACAATTCAGTCAAACCATTAATTTACTGTAAGTACTATGGACACATGTTTTTGCAAAAGCGTGATGGTATGTAATACTGGCATAAGCTAAATTAACAACAATTACTTTGAGATCTTAAACAAGCCTTTTATCATCTTACAACTAATTTAATTACAATCTGCATCCAAGGTTACTAACATGGTTTTAATAGTACAGTAGGACATAAAAGACATAAACAGTGTTTTATGTCCACCTTAGACTGCACACCTTAGGAAAAGACAATTTACCTCTTTGGTATTATTTAAATATAGTGATATTTTCCCTGGGGAGAGTGAGGTGAGTCCTTACTTTTTATGGCACATACAGTATAGAAATAAAAAGTGCTGCATCATTTATTTAATCTCTATCACTATATTAACTGTTAAAACATGCATTATCTGCTATTAGAAACTCTATCATATGGTACATGTGATACTGCCAATGAACTTTCTCCATTAGCACTGTACACCCTCAGTTTTCACACTGTTTCAGCCCTTACCTTTACTCAATCTCAGCAAATTCTAAATAGGAGATAGGCAACTTAAAATAAGATAGTAGGTAAAATATTTCAAGATTATCTAAAATAGGAAGCGGCCACTTATAAATCCCAAGATTATAAACAAGTGCCAATTGAATGCACATCTACTACAGAAAACGAGAAGTCTGTGAAAGTCACTTACTGATCAGCTCCAAATACTGACATTTATAGTACATTCACTATT